ATGGTCATAGTAGTACGACGGGAAAAAATTCAATCCTAATGAATTTTCCTCACCCTCACGTGAAATATTCGAGTCTCAATATTTCAAGGCAGGAAAATTCATTAGGATTGAATTTTTTCGCGTCGCACTACTATGACCATGAGCTAACAGTGTGGCAAGTTTCAAGTCAAAATTCGAAAGTAGAATTTTGCTCGAAATCCAAGCTCTATAGGCAAAAACTGACTAAAAATTCAATATCTCAGCAACAAAGCACCATGGGGATGAACCAACTTAGGATATTTCACTACTCGCCGAGGTCTACAAGATACAAGTAGTCCGAGTTCAAAAGCGATTTATAACCTCAAGAGGTACCCTCGTCAGATCGAACGTCTCTTGTTTTATTTCTTAGCAATTTATAAAAGAATCTTAAGGAGATAAAAGTTTTCTGTAAGAATCTTGTCTTGTAATTTTTCCATTCGAGAGATAGATCGACCAAATGACACAACATTTCATCATTATAAGTAAATTTAATCTATGTCGGTAACTAAAGAAAAGTTCAATCTGAAACTTTACTTCAGTGGGAACGAACGACAATCGCTGAGATTTCTTTACCAATCTGGAAACATCATCAAGTGTCGTCTCGCATATTGCTTGCGCAATCCCGACGCTTTATGAGTAAGTCTACGTTCATCGATTAAAAACGAATATAATTTATTGAAACAAACAGTGAAAAAACAGTCAGAATTGTTTTATTTATTAAGAAAAATTTTTTTATTAAAAAAAGTCTCTTTTTTGAAGCATTTTTATTCAGTTGACTTTGCATAATACTTTCAATAAATCATCAATCACAACATGACCTGCTCTTGTACAAGATTGAATTGCATTATTTACTTCTGAATCTTCAAGGTTTAACTCATTAACAACATTATAAGCCATTATTAAACGTCTTGCTTCTTCTTTTGGTAATAGGAAGTCCACTAAAAGTATTCAATATAAAATTCATTAAATAGACAACAATAAAATAGTAAATTACTTACTGCCAGTATTTGAATTTGTTCTATGAGTATACATTGCATTAGCTAAACGCATAAATCGCATAAACCAAGTGTTTGATGTTCGACCTTCATGATCAGCCGATTGGATTCGTTGTTTTGTTTCCTTTAAATTATTAGAAATACATTTAAACAAGAACTGAGAAGTGAAGATATACATACCCATTTTATCTGTTCCAGATTAGCGATTTGTCGTTCAATTTGTCTTAGACGATCTTGCTCATGGAATTCATTTCTTAAAGAATCTAATTGAGTATTACGATCATACATTTGTCGTTTTATATCTTGCTAAAATAGCAGTTAATAGTCAGTGAAATAGAATATTGATAAATCTTTCTTAAAAAGGAAAAGAGAATATTACTTGTTCATATTTTGGACTGACTTTATTTTGTTTAACATCCTGTATTTGTTGTTGAAGATACCAAACAAAATTTTGCCATCTAAGAGATAAAAATTCATGATTAAATACCATAGTTATATATGACTATAGTAAATGTATAATAAAACAACAAAAATTACTTGTATAATCCACCATACGCTTTACAATGTTTTTCTAATATTGCATATATTAATGAACGTTGCATTGGTATACGCGTTTTATAGATAACTTCTTCGATCTAAACAATTATATTAGTTATATATACTCAATTATATTATTAGAAGTTATATTCTATACTTGTTGACGATTTAATACACCACTTTGAGCGCGATCCGTTAAACTAAGTTCTCGAAGTAACTTTTGAAAATCAACTGTTCCATCCAGTTCAAATTGTTTGATAGTTTGTTTTATTAAAGTTCGTATTTGTCGTTCATCAGGATCGAATCGGTCTTCAAGATTTTCATATTTATTAATACTAATAATACTATTAGCATTCGAATTTGGATTTTTTTGTGAACTAGGACTTTTATTATTATTATTATTATTGTATTGATATTGTGGTTGTTGTGAATAACGATCTTGTCTAAATAACAACAAAAAATAAGTATCTTTTGAATAATCGTATACTTTTGCATATCAAGTATTGGAAATAGCATACAGCAGCTTTAGAGAAGAAAAGCGTAATCAACGCAAAAGTTACAAAAGGCCACATGCTTTTACTATTGTTTTTTTTTTTATCACAAGAGTGCATAGATCAAATAAAAAAGAGAATCTTACGTAGTATGTTTAGATTAATAATACCATGCAATATTAAATACAGTAAAATCTCAGACTGTGTATAACTCGTTCCATTTCAAATAAAACTGTAAATTTCAGTTCAAATGTGACAAGACTAGATGTCTTAGAGCAACTCATTACCATACATATGCTATCTTATGATCATCTCTTTCTGATGATAGCAAGTTTTACTGTACAGACAAATCAACAAGGTACAAGCAAAAGAAGGACTTTAGAAGATCAAAAAATATAATTTTTTTTTTCAATTTTAATCATATACATTAAAAGCATTTCTATTTACCTACCCTAGCAAATTGTGATAGTAGTGATAATAAGTATGAAGAGACCAGTGCCGACCATTATGATAAAATCTACTCCTAAAAGTGACAACTACCGACGCAAAACTTGAAATGGCAAATTTAAACTCAAAGAGAACGTTGTTGTCACATTTCATTTGTCATGTAGAGTTCAACTAAAAAAACCTGGTCAGATCAGCATCGTACTTTTAGCCGTAATCTTACTGAATATTTTAAAAATAATTTTATTATTAGCATACATTTAACAAAAAAAAGTAGACAAATAATATCAGGGGTACACTGCACATTAAAATTAGTTCTACGCTTGACGATTAGTTTGGGATTTATGAGTGGGTCTGATTTAGGGATATAGGTTATAATTATGAAAATGATTTTCGTAACAAGTACAGCGCGATGGCTGCTGTTTAATTGAGTAGTGATAATCTTGTCTCATTGATGAAGGATGTTGCTGATACAAGAGTTGATTCCCTTGTTGCTGACTAAAAAATGAGTTTTTTATATGGAAAAAAAATGGTCACGATTTTTGATAAAAAATAAACTTAAAAACAAATAAAATCTTACCCATATTGATTTGGTGCTAGAGATGATAAACATTTTCCAAAATATCGGATCATGTCTTCATAATTGACGTAGCCTCGTGGTTGATCAGACGAAACAAATTTACACATAGCAAAACGTAATGTATCATCAGACAAATTTAACTGGAAAAAGAAATATGCGATAACATCAACGGTTGTAACGCAACAAAAAATAAAATTCTTCATAGTGACTGTCAACTTACTCCCAGTCTATTTGACGTCATTCTGATATGAGAATGATGCACATAACCTGTCATTTTTGGATCATAATTGGCTAATTCTTGATAAAAGATTTTTAATCGATCAATAGCTTGCGGTCCTAGCTGATTTTGTATTTCACTTGCTAATTGGCGTTCTTCAAATTCGGTTAAAAGAATTGGTTCATTTGGTAAATGATTATCGGTTGTTGGCCTTTGCTGATAGTTATAATTATTATCCATCTGAGATTGATCTTGTTGTTCATTTTGATTATAATCTTGTCCTAATGAATTCACTGGTGGTACATCAAAGTGCTCGTTATTATTCAAATAATTGCCAGGTACTTCTTGATCATTTAGTTGTTGTTGTTGCTGTTGTTGCTGCTGTGGTTGTTGCTGTTGTTGTTGTTGTTGCTGCTGCTGTTGTTGATATTGCGACTTATCCCGATATGTTTCCACTTTTCCGGCAGCTATCGGAGGCAAAACTGAATATTGATTCAATGCATTGCTGAACTGTTTTGTCGGATAAGTGTCTTTCTAAACATAAAACTTATACGAATAGTGTGTCATTAGAGCAAAATATCATCACCCATGAACTGTAGCACATTTTCTAAATAGATAGTATGGATGTACTCTTACTAGGTCAGTTTCTCACAGACAGTCCGTTTGCAAGAGTTATGTTCCAAACGGGAAATATTTCCCATTCAGGAAAGATGTATTTCCCAATTGGGAAATATGTCCTAATTTGAAAAACAGAATGTCTCCCATGCGAGACATATTTCGACATGTCTACTTGGAAACTCTGCAGCACATTTTATAACACTCCAGCGCATGTTGTGATTGGTTCCATTAGAAAAAGCATGAAAAGGTGCGTTGATTGACGCGGTGCAAGGTGAATTTAACGCTCTCCTACCAGATCTGATGTTATAAAAATGTTGAATAGAAGTACGATAAAAATCTTTCCAGATCGAGAAAGTCATAAGAAATATCTAATAATCAGCTTTAGCCTAGTGTTTAATATATTGAATATATGTAGATCCAATGTGTATACTTTTTGAAATAAAAAATAAAGCAAATTTTGCCAAATTCGAAGATTTTCTATCTAAATGATTGCCAAGGTATGACTTCAAAATCAACTAAGGCTTCATGCTGTAATGGTGAGCATGTTATTTGGCATGGCACTACCACCTATGATTTAATTAAGTTAAATCAAAAACATATACCGAAGCGACAATAGAAAACGCATGACGTTCAAATTTGTTACCGAAACGTGCTAGGTATTTATGTAGTCTTTGTATTGCCAAATTAGAGAAGAGATGAATGATAATGAGAAACGACCTACAGAACGTCTACGTCTATTGTCTGACGAAAAATCGATCGAAGCCCAACAACATCCGCCAAAAAAAGAAACCGGTTTGAGCTCTTGTGTGTATATTATTTGTAATGCTGTCCAAAACGATTTGCTTGGCGAAGAAGATGAATTAAGACTCTATACAGTATCGCACCATTTTGCGATCGGGAAATAGATCTTTCCTAAATGGGAAATAATTAATCTTTCCTGAACAGGAAATATCCTGTCCAATTTTCCGGTTGAGAAACAAAAACACACAAGTGTTTCAACAAGGAGTTTGTTTTAGCATCGCACGTAACCAACGATCATAGAGAAGGTTCAGATTTTCACATAGAGCAAATGTGAAACAGCTAAGCAGCAGAATAAAAACTGACCGCATTCTAAAGGACTTATAGTTCATGAGAGAACATCTTTCTCGATTGGGAACATACGTCTCAATCGGGAAGGTATAAACGGGCTGATAGGAGTAAGTGAATGATTAGTCTATTAGTCGTGTATTAAATATATGTTTTTGGGAAACTGTAAAATCGAATAAGTCAATGAAAAAATGTACTAGTATCTCTATGAAACATGTGCACGAAAGAAGTGTTTAAAACCACTTCATTTCAAGGTACGTGGGAAAAATGAGTGGAATATATTAATTGAATGTTAGTTTGTTTAACGATCGATGCAGATTTTGTTACCTGATAATCATATTCTTTTGTGTCCTTAGGGTAAAATTATGATAAAAAAGTGGCTCTTATCATAAATAAAATGATTTCATACTAAACAATTTGATGTACTTACAGGATGACGTTGTCTATTACTATATTCCGTACGATAAGTAGTATCAAATCTTCCTTTTGGTATTTGTTGAAAACGTGGGCTGTCTAACTGGTTAATATGCTGAATTGGTTTTGTTGGTTGAATAAGTGGATCACTAAAAATGAAAAACAATTTACGTTTATTCTCACATTTCAAATTGGTTTTACATACTAGATAAAGCCACTGTGAGGATAATGCCTGGTGAAAGCCATGGTTTTAAAACTTATCAGTTATGTATGAGCAATTAAGAACAAATCAGTAAAAGTAGACATTAAATTGGTATAAATTTTCACTGTAGAAAAAGGAAAACAGTTGCTTGGAAACTTTGTTAACGTTGCCTTTGTTGATATTTTTTTTCCTTCGTTTTTGTTTTTTCTGAATGGTGCATTGTCCTTTTTTTCTGCTTCTGTTTATACTGTTTTCAAATAAAAAAAAAAGATGCTCATGTGCGTTTAGTTGTTGATAATAACGCTTTAAATTTTTTTATTCTTTATTTCTTGAAGGACAATAAAAATCAAGAAACGTTTTTTTAACAGTTTGACTGGAAAAAAAGAAAATTTTATTCCTATTCTTTCGTATTTAAAAGCTAACTCGATGAGCTTATGGATGGATTGGAGCAGCAAAACTATAAATTATAAGAAAAAAAAATTACTCTAAAGAAATTTATACGAATATATTATGGACAAAACTACAATCAGGTTTCTTCGTCGTAAGTCCCCTTTCTTTTAAGCGATTTCTTGCATAATTCTCGACAAAGCCATATTCAATATTTTATTATAAACCATTGAGAAAAAAGATTCGAGAGTAAATACTGCGAATCGTCGAACTCGATTATTTTTTAATTAAAAAAATCGGCTTGTTCGATTTTATATTCTCAAATTTTGATCCTATGAAAAATCGACTATAATCATACTTGAACGCTTGAAAAACTCTATCGATTAGCTTTTTCTCAATTGCAAACGGTTACGAGGAAATTTATTTTTGTTTTTTTGGGATTTTACCAAAAGTCATCATTTTTGGACAGCAGTTTTGCGTCTTTTAATAAACTTCCCATCAGCCGGGTAATAGGTTTCATTTTCGAGTAAAATGATAGTTCGTCTATATCTGAATGAAAAAATATTGGATAATTTGTTTTTTCCGCTAACTCTACATAGCCGAGTTTGCTGGAGTTTAGATCAACTAAAAGTAAAATCAACTTTTATGTGACAAAATTAAGTCTAAAGTCAAACTGTAAAAGACAAGAATATTCGAAAGTGTTAGAATATCCATTTTGATCTCATCTCGATAATGATAACGTGTTAAAAACAAACTGTTTTTTGAGCTATTTCTTTAGTTGAAAAGTAATTGAGTTCGACGATTCGCAGTATTTACTCTCAAATCTTTTTTCTCAATGGTTTATAGCAAAATATTTAATATGGTTTTGCAGAAAATTGAACGAGAAATCTTTTACAAGAAAGGCAATTTAAGACGAAGAAAATATGTGCAAAATACGCTGATATTTTCATTCTTATGACTAGCCGTTATCGAAAAACGTGTGTGTTATATCTTGTTTTTATTATGTCAAATAGTACCGAGTCTGTAAATCTACTTGTGTGGATTAGAAGTATACTGATAATAAGAATAATGTCTACAAATTTTTAATTAACCCTGTTTTCCCCTAAGACACATAAATGAATAACTTATTTATTCTAGATAAAAGATTCTCAGGAAGAGCATAATGCAGCTCTTAAAGCTGTTTTCGATATATAGACACACTTACCGATTATTTATTGTTTCTGGCAACGATATTCGTTTACTACCAATAATTTTCATCGAATGAGGTGGGGTATAATCAGTCCCAAAAGGAGCAAACTTCGGTATGGCTGCGTTTGAATAATTGATCGGTACCGCAGGCTAAAATAAATATAATTTAAATTTTTGAGTAGTCAAACATAGAAAACTAAAAATACTCAATTATTTATTTTCCCATATTAATTAAAATCAGTTCAGTTTTCTTTTTTTAAGTTATCAAATTAAATACCGTTTAAGGTAGAATTTACCACGATTAATATGTTGCTTTCAAGTATGAGTTCTATCAGAATCAACAGAACTTTCGTTCATAATATTCATATGAAAATATTTGTCATCCTTTCATCCCAAGCAAAACTAAGTAAGCGAGAAAATCTAGCTGCAGAAGAAGCTGCAGCGCCCACTTACAGCTAGATTAACTAGATTAAAAGGTACATTTATCTAGCTGCATGCTGGTTGAAATTGTGTACTAGCTGAAACGGCCAATTAATCGAGCAATGAATTGTCCAATTAATCGATAGCAACTAGTTGTACCCAATTGAAACTAGCTTCAGTCTAGCTGAGACTAGATGAAATTTTCATGTATTTCTGTGCAGCTGGCTGAAGCTAGATAAATGTACCTTTTAATCTAGATGCAGCGCCCGCTTCATGATTTTTTTTCGTACTTGGACACAATGTCTGTATAGTATTTTATAGATTGATTTTTACTATATTCTTTTAGACATTAAAATCATTTAAATTAGCGACAGTGCTAACCGTAAATCTTTGAATGACTTAATCTTTGAAAACAAAATATATGTTAAAGATATGATACATCTCTTCCTGGTAGGACGATTCATAGGCAATCCGTTCCGAGGAAAATTTAATTTTCTCATACATCATGTCACCGTTTTTGGAAAACATTGCCAGTAAAGTTATAATTATCCACTTCAAAAAATTTAGTGTACTTCGTCGTATGTTGAATAACTCGACGACGAAAAGTGGTAAAACATTCGGGTTTAAAATCATAGAACTATTGACCTTTTAAAAAACTTTTAAAGTTGAGGTTATCACAGTATACTACATCGGATCAAGAATTCTGGAAAGCGCAATTTTGAAAAATCCTAGTAAATTTTTCGCTTTGAAGACATCCCTAATTAAAGTGACATTTGTTCTAAAAATCTACGTAAGTCTGACATCTCCATCATCATGCTAGAACTTTTCCTGAGGCATCCCTACCTGATGACCTACAGGTCTGGAAACCTCAAAAACAACTGGAACATAGATTATTGTCCGTGCTGTTTCTCACGAGAACAGGTTTTTTCATTTCAAAAAAGCAACTTAAGATAATCAACTTTACATGAGACAATCCATTTTAACTTATTTTAATACAACTGAAAAATTCATAACTGAAAATAGTTGCTCTCGTACTTTGAACCGCACGATCAGGTAATTGTCGGTACCGGTACTTGTGTGGTACTGGTACCGAACGTTTGGTGCCAACCATTGGAACCGTACCGAAAGTACCGAAGATTTTTTCATTATCTAAACCTATTTTTGAACTCACAAGAAGCTTTTTCCTCCTTAAATGGCAAAGACTTCCGTCCCTTAAATTTTTTTCACAGTGTTTTTAATCCTCTCTTTTTCCATCTTATTGTTGAAATAGTACCATTTTTAGTGTGAAATACAGATGTTATCTTATCACTTTACTTTACACAGCATACATCGTGTAATTAAGCAACGTTAAAGAAGGAGACAAACAGATTTCTATTCTGTTTGTGTCAGCTGTTCCGTATATGACCATTATGAACACGTGTACAAGAAAGTAAATATAAGAGACTATAGCATGCAGCTTAATCCAGAAAAAAAATAGAGGCATTAGCGGTACCGAAAGTATCGAACTTTTTGGTACTGTTCCTGGTACCGAACCGAATACCTAACAGGGTACCGAATCGAAATTTTCGGTACTGCGTGAAAACAGTACCGGTACCGAAGTACCGATAATTCTTTACGCACAATCATGTGGCACTCTTAACACTCAACCTTCTGATATTCTTTCGACAATAACATCCTTTAACCTGTTATTTTTTTCTCTTTTTTTCATATTTTGTGAGTGTCTGCCCTTTTTTTTACTGAAGAATATCTATTAACCAATAGCTAGTTATAATATAAATTTCTTTTAAATTAAATAATAATATTATTGTTTTATTATGTAGATAATATATAATAAAATAAAAGATCATTATAATTACACAAAAGTAACGGTATTAACTTACCAAGGTTCGGTAAAACACCTTTTTTCCATATTTACTGTTATCATTTAAAATAAATTGCATAGTTTTTTGTTCTTCTCTCTTTTTCTTTCACCTCTGTCTATCACATCATCACAACATAATCATGCTCACTCAAAAATCAAGAAATTATTTATGTTCTAATATATTTCTCTAAACTTTATTTATTTTTTATCAATTGCTTTCTGTGTCGATACTACGTACCCTCCTGCTGTTATTGTTATTCCTGTAGGCTTCCATACATAAGTTGTCAAGCTTCAATTTGTAATGATCATGTTTCATATAAAAAAACTTTCCTCTCAATGTTATTTTAAATACCGATAAAAAGAATGAAGTGAAGAGAATTTTTTTCTACATGTTTGAGTATTAGCAATTTATTTGTTTAAAAATAAAAAATTTGAAGCTAATCCTTGAACAAACTGAAAATGAAAAAAAAACGAGAAAAAAAAATGGAATATTTTCTTTTTTTAGTTGTTATTATTTCAATTGATTCCGTTTTAGTTGCAAGTAATTTTACACATGTGTATAGGTCTAAAAAGGCTTCGTCGCTGTTTCGTAAGTTTAAGAACAAGCATTTTTAATACAACATTTGACATGCGGCAAAATGTTACTATTTTTTTAATAGAAAGCTTTCCGTTTTAACTTGGAAAATCTTAAATAAATCTCCGTTACTATTGAAACTATTCATAGACGTCAAACCCTCAACTAATCATAGAAAAAAATGTTTTTTTCGTTCGATTGACAAATCTTCTACTTATAATGATAAGGCTGTCAAAAATTTGTATACCTTTTCAAGTTAATGAGCATAAGCCGCAGCACATGGATATAAATTCAGTTCTATTGAATTCTGCTTTTTGTGAATCTAAAAACGCTAATCTCTACAATAGCTAATCTCTAATCTCTAACAATAGCTAATCTCTAACATAAAACTATTAGCAAGACGAAACAGCATCCAAAACTGTTGATTTTAATACAAGTGTATCATTTTTTGCCTCTTGATTTATCCAATCGAATCTCACCTTGCTCTTTCTTTTCCTGGCAGAGATGTCCATGGCGGCGCGGCAGCGGCAACGTATTCTTCTTTACCGTCGCGGCGCGGCAGCGGCAACTTATTTAATTTTGCCATCGCGGCGTGGCAGCGGTTGAATTTTTGAAAAGATTTATTTAATTTTTGTCAAAAGAATCTATAATAAAGCTATTCAAATCCTAGCATCATGATGAACGCTGGAGTTATAGTACTATTTATAAACTAGTTTTTTCGTGGCTGTTGATATTTCTTTACTAGACGTTATATAGCATTCCAACAACAGACATACATTCTATGTATTTATATGTTCTTCTAATTCTATATGTTCAGATAAAGAATTGACTTGGAATATTCACATATGATTAATTGATCAAAATATTTTAGATCTAAATATCATATATATATAAAAATTCACTTCTTAGTGACTATATATTATGCCAGGTACTCTCAATTTTTTATCATTTCTATATCTTTCTAATCTTAAATATTAGTTATGCAAATGGAGAGCAGCCATCTAAGTTGCTTCCCGTCGCGTCGCGGCAGTGGCTGATTACTAACCGGGATGGACATCTCTATTTCCTGGTTGTTTTTTTTGTTGAAAATTTACTTTTTGTATCAAAATAAAACATGAAACGAGAACATATCCTTTTTCAAATAAGACAATTCACAAAATTCACGAACTCGAAAATCGATTTCAAATGCAAAACGATGTAACGATTTTTAATGACTAAACAAATGGAATAGAGTATTGAAGAAAGACAGTATTAGGTAGAATAGCTCAGCTTGCTTTGCCTGATTACATGCAGAGTTAACGCCGGATGTGATTCCCTGTTATTTTCTCTTGTTTAGTTTTATAATCAGGTTTATTTATTATTTTCCAATTGCTTTTCAGTACAGCTTATTCTGTGTATTAACACATTCACCGCCACATATGCTGAAATATATGACGTGAATACGTCATTCGATGTATACGGCAGTGAGAGTATTAAAAAGGAAAAACATCGCTCAAAGAAAAGGTTCGATCCTAAGACATTTTGTTTAGAAAAGATAGCATTTTCGAAGCATAGTGCTGCTCTTTCGCTTTCCAGTATTTAGCATCTCAGAAAAAATTGAGAGACCTCGGTTTTCTCTCTTGCTTTGGATTCCGATTGAAACAATAAAAAATTTGGTATATTAAAAAAACTTGATTTTCAAAAACAAAACTTTTTAATGCTAAAATCCTCGTCTAGATCTTGGATCACATATGTAGAGAGAGAGAGAATCATGAAAAATCGAATTGAAAAAATTTTAAATGATCGAGGTACCTTGTCCATACATCAAGTGGGTTTTCGTTTGAAAAAAAGTACAATATACAACATATTGTAGACTCAGAAGACACTCTATCGTTATTTTCTTCGACATAAAACAGACCCATAGACAGCATAGCACACGAAGGCTTGATTTATAAACTATTTGATTTAAATGCACCACAATATTTGATCAAATGAATAATATTATTCCTAGATCGGCGAACAGCATGGTATAGTAATACATTATCAAAAATATTCGCATTGATTAGTGGCACTCCGCAAGGTTCACCACTCTCTCCGTTATTATGGATATTATATACAGCTAATTTCATGAACAACACTCCATGTCACACACAACACGGACATTTTGCGAGTGATACCACACTATGGGTCAACAGCAACATTATCACATTAAATCAACGGCTACAAGCATCGATAAATGTCTTCCAGCGGTGGTGTATTCAATGGAAACGACAAATCTAACCAAACCAATTAAAACAGAAATAATCCATTTCTCTCCTCATCGACGAAAAAAATACAAAAACAAAATTATAGTTAAAATTGGGATGACCACAATTAAATCACAACCATCTGCTCGATATTTCAGTATAATCTTCGACTATAAACTAGATTGAAGAGCACATGTCAGACGTATCGAAGATAAAATTTATCAGCGAATAAAAATCTATCAAGCTCAATACCAGAGGCAAATGATAAAACAATGATTAATTTATTTAAATTGTTGACTCGGACTGTCCTCACGTATGGGAGTCCAGTTTTACTCACCGGCGACAAAAATATTTGAAGACGATTGCAGATTTTACAAAATAAAAGTATTAGAGCTGCGTTAAGAGTACCGCACTATATATCATCCAAATACGTTGACTAACAAAGCAACAATATATGTTGCTAACAGTATATCGACGGTATATAACGGGTGGGCCATAAAGAATGACCCTCTCAGTATTTTGCTTATAACTTGGTTTAGATTTGTTTCCGAGACTCGATGTTTTTTTTTAAAAGATGTGCTGCGAAATACTCTACAAAATCATACCTAAACTATAATTTCAGAACTTCAATCAAGAAAACTAATCCAATTAGATGAAAGTCGAAAAAAATGTAAACTTTCTAAACTCGAAATTTTTTTCGACTTGAACTTTTTCTTCTGCTACTATTTCCGCTGAAAAGTGTAGCAAAAGTGAGAACTCAACTTATGTTTGATACTTTCAAATGTACTCTTTCTCGTGGTCTGTGAAAAACTTTTTTAGAGCAGACGGTGTGCTCGAGAACGAAGTTACAAAAATACATCAAAAGTTGACAACCTTCCCGTTTTCAACAATGTGCCCAATCAAGAAACGGAATAGATAATTGAAGTTTGATTTTGCAGTTAGATAGAGAAGAGCAATCATTTCTGATCAAAACAAAGCAAACCCAACCGAAAAAGCTTTTATTTTGATAAAGTTATGGGGCTTTTACTGAAAGCACTACTATACCCAAAACTTTAAAAATTAATGAAAAAATGCATGACAATCAATAGAAAAACTATTTTTCGCTGTGGCTTTTGATGTGAAAAGATATGAAGTGTAGCTAAAAGATAGAGCGAAGTCAGGGCTACAAAATGGCTAATTCAGTTTTTCTTACTTTCAAAACGTTAACACAAGAAATCGTTTTTGAATTTAGAAAGTTTACATTTTTTTCGACTTTCATCTAATTGGATTAGTTTTCTTGATTGAAGTTCTGAAATTATAGTTTAGGTATGATTCTGTAGAGTATTTCACAGCACATCTTTTAAAAAACATCGAGTCTCAGAAACAAATCCAAACCAAGTTATAAGTAAAATACTGAGAGGGTCATTCTTTATGGCCCATCCGTTATGTCACGTGAAACATTCTTTAATATCTGCGCGTGCATGTTCCTTCAAGTGGTATATTTTGGTATTTATCAATGAAAATAATATATGCACATACAGAACTACGTAAGAGCTGTATGTATCAATAACATATAAATATTCGCCATATAAACAGTATCCATCATGCGATTATCAATCAAAATTAAAGCAATATCCTATTAATAATAATGAATTATATTATTTGTCATCATACGATCATTCAATTGGGAACTTATTAAATTATTTCCTAACATTTCTGGATAACAAAAAAGAACATTGATGAACAGAAGACAAATGATGATCTATTTGGCAATATGACTTTGTTTTCACCATTCTCCATTATGTAGTGCATAATAATTTATTTCAAAACGTGTATATAGATATAGATATATATATATAGAGAGAGAGAGACAGAGATAGCCAGATATATATTGAAGAAAAAAGAGAAAAACTGTTTCTTGGTTTCTTCTCTCGATAATTTATACAGAGACAAACGAAAAGAAATGTTTAAGTAGTTCATAAACGTTAATCATGAGGATACTCACTTCCATCATAATGAAGAAAACATCGAGAAAAGAGAAGAAAAAAAATAAATTAACACCTGATAACAAACTAAATTATCCAAATCGAAAAATGATTTAGATTTTATATAAAAAACAAAAAAAACGAAAAAAATATATTGCACATTTTAATACGCATAACGCAAAACTTAAAATTCATTCTTGAGAATTTCTTTTACGAAAAATGAATAGAAGGAGCAATAACATTTCACAACTATGGTGAGTATAAAATGAAAATCTACACATTAACATCCGTGACAAATAAGCGAAAAAAAAACAACAAACAAACCGAGATGCATAAAAATAGATCGAGAACGATTGAACATAATAAACTACTAACCCGTGAAAAAAAATAAAAATTTTTTAGGAAAGAAGACAATTGGATTGTTGTGTAGATTCATGATTCGTACCATTTGTTATTAATTCATGGGATGAATTAGTCAGAGATTTGCTCTGTTTTTGTGTGGCATACACAGCAATTAATTTCTCCCTAGTCCTTTCTGTTGTATCATTCGGTTTCTCATCGCCAATAACATTTGAATTAATGTGACCCGTATGAATAAAATCACTTGAATTTACACTTTTTCCCGAACTTAATTTAATATCAAAACGTTTTGGAGAATGTTGCTCGTTTGTGTGCTCGAATATGTCGTTTGATGCGCGCTGTGTTGCTGTTGTTGGAGACGGTGTCAGAGAGTTTGGAGAAGATTTTGAACTTTCTTGAAGAGAACTAATTGTTCGGGCTCTCACCGAACCAGGAGAAAACAGAGGTTCTGATTCATTATTGTTCTGTGACGATAATGATTGTAATGATATTAAAGCATCACCACTGAATCGTCCAGAATGGTTTTTGTGGTTATCGTCGTAATTGTTTTCAGCTAATGATGGTGAATCTGTATCAGATATTAAATTATTTGTGTCTGATGCTGAATTTGTACGTATTCGATTTAAATTTACATGATTACTAGTTAACACTGGTTCATCTTGAGCTTTATCTTAATATAAACAAAAATATACTGAATTTAGAGTTATATCATCAATATTAGTCAGCACTACTATCATCTTTTCTGACGTACAATCAATATTCGTACGAATATTTATAAAATTAAGAATAGTCAGTCACCAAAGATAGACTATACAGTATGATCGTTATAGACGTATGAAGTACTCGCCAATTACAACCCGTCTGTTTCCATATGGAGAGGCTAGTTTGGATAAAAAAGTTGATTGAGTTTGTGGGTTTGAGACAAGAAAAAAATTGCACAGTGTTGGTCAGACTTTTGCGGATTCAGGGCTAGGGATGTTACAAGCTTCGAGACTATGCATCAAAGATCAGATGTTTTCATTATTCAAAACCCCCAAGCTCTGCCGAGCTTTTGTGTCAGACGTAACCAGTTTTCTCTGCTGTATCCGAAACTAGTGCTAGGATTGGTCAAAATCAATAAAAAAGTATCGGGCTTGGTAAAGCTTATTCAAAAAATACAGATAAAGGTCAGTTTTCACCAAGCTCGGTACTTTTTTATTGGTTTTGACCAATCCTAGCACCAGTTTCGGATACAGCAGAGAAAACTGATTACGTCTGACATAAAACCTCGGCAGAGCTTGGGGTTTTGAATAATGAAAACATCTGATCTTCGATGCAAGGTCTCAAAGCTTGTAACATCCCTATTCAGGGCTAGCCCAAGAAAAAGGTTGTCACGTAAGTTCTATTTTTGCTTGTAATTATATTGCACCTCAAATGCTTAATTTCTGCAATATATCAAATCAGAACCGTGATGTTGTAATAACTAATAAAAAGTAATCGATATAGACGAAATACTGTAGATTTAAATAATTCTTTCTTTCTAATTCTCACATAGTGAGTAGATGTGAAAGATGTCTTTGAAATAGGGCATTTAAGTTTATAATCAAATAAATTAAACTTTAAATTTTATAATGGAAATTTTTCAAAGAATAAGTTTACAGTTTAAGAGATGGGCTCAAGACAACATTGTTTGTTAACGGGTTCGAATTTATAGACCGAGACAAAAAATTCTTGTGGCCAGAATCGAGCTCGAGCCCACAGATAAGTTTATTTGCAGAACTCTAATGATGGTACCTTCTGACAATAATTTGCTTGTTGTTGCTGTATCCTGCAAGTGGCGACGTTGTCCAATGAGTTGTTGTGCTTGATTTCGTACAAATTGTAACAAAGGTTTATAGCCAAAACTAAATAAAAACACTTTATTTAGTTAACGGACGGATTTATTGTTAAAAGTAGCCGGCATGGAATGCTAAGTTAACTGATTTAATCTAAAATCAAAAATACTAACCATTCATTATCAGCCCATGTTTCGAGTTCGCACAGTCCATTTTGAAGTCCGAACATTTGTGTTGTTAAATCGGTTACCCTTAATGAATTAATGACTTGACTGATCATTGTTTGACTTTTTAATATTAATGAAAATAAAAATGCCCAATCAGAACATCCGGCCGACAAAAATATATCGTACAGATATCTATAATGACAAAAATATGATGTCGATTGATTAAATATTAATCGTCTACAAAGTCATCTAATTCTTAAGTAGAAAAAAAAAACATACTTTAATTGTTTCTCGCATACTGGTGGTCCACGATTTGCTAATTCTTGACTAAGTGTTTCAATGTCTCGATTATTAATAATATCGTCTAATTCAGAATCGACGGGCATCGAACTTGCTTCAGATGTTAAACTTAGTGTATCGACTAAAACGAGTTAATCTCTTCTCTGTTTTTTACTAAAAATGGATAATAACAAGAAACATACGAAGATCTTTTGTTTTCTTCGGTGTTAAATCAACATCCACTTCTTCTTTGGACGTGGCGCGTGATACTTGTGTTGATAGTACAGTGCTAATTCCTTTTTCATCTAGTATTGAAAACAAAATTTACTTATTCTCTACGAATGACTAAAAAGAACATACCATCACCTCGATCTGTAGTGACAATACCAGAATCTGAGTGACCATTTTCATTACTGGAAGATGTAGAATCTTTATCTCCTATACAAAAAAAAATTAAATAAAGTTTTGCTATTTTTTCTTAAAATTTTTCTTTAACATACTGTAAACAGGATTAAAATAAACTGTTGGTGATATAGAAACTGGAAATGGCCAGTTGAATTCCATATGAAGTGCTTTCAAAGTTTCAGTATAATTTGAAATGACTAACGCTGATTCATGTCTAATCAAACAAACGAAAAATGACTTTTTAAAGCCACTTTTTGGGATAAGAATACCTGTGAGATTTAAGCCACGTTAATAAATCAAAATCATTTATGTTTGCAGCCATATATCCCAAATGTCTCAAATGTCCTTTACTTATTGTTTGTAATGCATGTTGATTTAATGTACGTTGAATAAAATTAGATGACGCTGGTGGAATTGCTGAATTCAAACTCGAAGAATAGTTATTGTTATTTGCATTCGATAATGGCGAAGAACTTTGTTCACTGTCTTTCTTCGGCGATCTAAATAGGACAAATACATACCCACTTATACTTAAAAAAATCTTAGAATTCTCAGAACGTTGATAACATACTTATTATCTGATGTACTTGTTTTTCTTTGTGCATCTCGACGGATTTGGTGAGGTTGTTGTGTATTTGAGTTTGATGATGATGTTGGAGATGATTGAGTTCCTGTGAGTGCCGTCGATGATGGTGTAATTTCTGTCATTGTTGATACACCTGCACCTGTCATTACAGCAGAAGTATTTGTTGTTGATGTACTGGTAGCCATAGTTGTTACAATACTGCCCGTTCGTTGTCGAAGATTGACAACATAGGTAAATTTAAGAGCATCTTTATGAGGAGATAACGGTGATTTTTGTGATAAACTATTGTTGACACGTCCACTTGTTGTTGTAGGTAAACGAGTATTGATCGTACGTATATTTTCATTACTATTCAAATCATGAGGATCTGTACAGAGAAAGATGACTAGAATATTTATGTCAAATGCAATACAAAGATAAGTCTAACTCACCTATACAATATATGAAACGAATGATATCTGCAACTAATTCCCATTTAGCATTTTCAAGCGAATGTTGAAGTAGAACTTGTGCAAACTGAAATGTAAATCAGATTAATTAGACAGGCAAGATTCAAGAGGTCAAACAAATTTTTGTCTTACTTGTTGACTAATTTCACTTCTTTCAAGATTTTGTATTATAATCAAATAGGAGGAAGCTGTTTCAAGGTTATTTTGATCCAAACATTGCTGAAATTTGAAAAAAAAAAGAGTCGTATATACACGTTCAGTGCCTATTATTCTATTTCTTACTTTAAACAACTGTTTTGGATCGCCAATAATCGAATTTGAGAATAAACATGGCCATAAAGCTACTTCTGTTTTGCGTGCACAGTGTGAAACAATGCGTAAATATTGTGGAAACAGTTTGATAAAATCAGCAACACGCGGCAATAATGGATCTAAAATTTTAACTTCATGGTAATAACGTTGTTATTTCTATGTCGTACAAATGGTATTTATCAATCTTTCACACGAAAAAATGTTTTCTATCAAAACCTATGCTATTCTACACTACATTTCTGCTACATAAAGAAAATAATCATTATCAATAAGATTTGATTTAATAATCTATCACTAACATATCAGATAGCTATAATCATCACAAAAATGGACTTTTAGAAGGAGAGTTAAAAAAAATGTATCTACTACAATATAAAATAATGTAGTGTTACCGGTTAAATTGTTAATGTTACAACTTATAAAAATAAAAAATCATCTTGATTGATCTGTTGAAACTAGATTATATGAAGTAAGAAATAATTATACTCTGCATTGTTGAAACAGTCGAAATAAAAATCACATTCTTCCATTAGTGTATGAAATAAAGAACTTGGAACTTTACTATATATATAATTAAGTTTGACAACTCACACGAGTGAAATATATTTTTTTATAGCAATAGAAATTTTTCTCATGAATATTTTTACCTGGAATTGGTTGTAAAGATGTTGCTTCTTCTTCTAATACCTTGTGTAATAACAATTCTAATACATGTGAAAAATGTGGTAAACTTTTACATGTTTGAGCAATCTGTAATGCATCGAAATCCAAACTAGATTAGAAAAATAAAGTGTTTGTTATTAATAATTTAAAATTTCAACTATCGTTAAAAAATTTATGTACTTTTTTCTAATTAATTCTTGAAAGACATGATTGAGAAAGACTTGTGTCTAAAATGAGAAAAGAATGATTAATATAGATAAATGATATCTTAACAACATACTGTTTTTGTTATTGAGCAAAATGTTTTTGAATTATAACTATGAACTTCAGACATAGCACCAAGGATAACAGCTTCTTCAACGACAACAGCTATTAAATCAAAAAATAACATCGGTGAAATATGATTCTAAAAAATATGAGAAAAATCAGTACCTAATGGATAAATGGTTAGACCAAAATTGAGCATTATACGATGAGATTGAAATATTGGCTCATCAGCTTTTCTATATAATGGTAGCCATACCTATTTGAATGATACATAGTGAGGGCTATACCGAATAATACATTTTACTTACTTTCATTCCCTGTAAACCACAACAAAGCCACAATGCATTGGACAAATATGGATTCGTTGAATTCTGATGTGAAATTGTCCATATGGCTTCGACCCATGCAGCAATCATGACAGGTGGTAAAAAGTTAACTGTTTGCAATGTGGTCTTTTTTGTTGATTTTTGTAGTATCAACGATGAACCATCTTTCTCTTGTTGTAACAGTAATAATCGACCACAAACATTGAGCAATATGCTTTGTGGCGAATTATCATAATTTGAAGATTTTGATTGTGGTAAACCTACGAACATGTAATGACTAGTTGCAAACAAATAATGAAAACAAACTAATAAATAAGAATTACCTGAATCTGTACGCAGTGATGTCAAACCAACAAAAGGGACAAATACAGCGTGTGGAACATAGGATTCAACAGATATTTCATGCAGTTTGATCAAATGTGCACCGGCAACTAATAAATAGAACATAGTATACTACTAATACAAAATAAAATGTGTTTTATAACCCTTACCCGGTTTTGTTTCTTTTCTTTCTAATGCATATAACATAATATGCAAATCATAACAAAATGCAATTAATGTATCGTCACAGACATTCAAACATACGATGGGGGACTGTAAACGCGTGACATTAGAAAAACTGTTATCAAGATTGGTTAACCGCGAATACAGACGAATCTAAACAAAAAGCAAAAAAGAAGTGAAAATAGTTGTTTTCAAATAGCACAATAATCTCCCGAGAAAATAATACAGATCGCCTTAATTCACACATGCAACGGTGTCAATTAGTCTTTCTGTTGCATGTGTCATCATGCAATCATGCCTGAAAACGTCCAAAAATAAAAATAGTTCAAAAATGTAGAAAGAAAACAAAGAAACAAACAAACTGAGGAAGTGTCGAAAAAAATTCAGATGTAGATCTTCATATAGGATTCTCAGATATGGAAAAGGTGTGAAAGAATATGGTTCTTAAGTTTATGAGCTCAGATTTCTGAAGAAATGGAATTGAGTTTATTTTTTATTTTTGTTAGAATATTAGTAATGTGTCATCACTGTTTCGAGAGCTTGTCTTTGCATTCTTACTTCGCGTTTCGGAAGATGCTAAAGAAAATTATTGTGTGAGTGATGATTTTGTGTATTTCTCATGAGGCGCTATTTCTTACTTCATCGCGACTATCGCTAGTTGATGTACAACCACAAATAATGAATTCATGCCACCATAATAAACCACCAACTACACGAATATCACGTTCCTAAACGCAAAAGAAAAGAAAAGCGTTCTTATTATTTATCCATTTAGATTGTTAATCAAATACTTGTCCAGCATTTCCAAATAATTTCCACTTTCTTGTTAGTAATGATAAATGAGCAAAACCATGTTGACCAGCTACGGCCAAATACTGTCCAGTATTATCAATGCAGGCGAACTAAAATAAAAAGAATGAAAATATTGTAGATGAGTATTTAGACACTACTAACTTTAATTGGCCAATTATTATGAATATAAAGTTGTGGTACTTGAATAATTTGCCAACCAACATCGTATGCTACTGTTGATAATGAGCCATAATTAGTGTCATTTTGCTGTTGTTGTGATGGATTTGTCGAACTTACAGTGCCACCGCTTAGATATAAATGTATTTTATCTTCTGATTGTAATACAAGGTGTTCAATACTACCCTATCAGACAACAAAACAAAAAAAACGGCATTACCAGATATTCGACATTCTAACTTGCATACCGAATGTGGATTGTTAATAACCGATGATTTCAAGAAATTTAACAATAATAACTGACTAGTATTCACGCTATTTACAACGGATGCATCATCTGCAGCGCTGGATAATGATGTTGATCTCTGTTGTTTTTGAGAAGCAATCCACATTGTGTATCCGTCCGGACCCCACTCCTACAAATAATACATGTAATTTGTAATGATTAATAATTCTAACAAGTTACACCCACGTGGACTTAAACCAATAACTGATACGTATGAAAATGATCTATTTTTGTCGAAAATGTCAATAATTTTGAGTTTTTTTCGCTTAAGACTAATTTACTATTACTACTATGCTATTATCTCTAATTAATTGTGAAAACTTACAATAACTGTACATAAGCCATACGATTGCATAGAATTTCTAAATAGAAAGATATTTTGAATATAATGATGAAAATGCTAAAAATAAGAAATTACAATGATTGTTGTGAGGAATATGAACAGTACAGTAATATGCCGAATACAGTCCATACACCAAATGCTCCATTATCCCATAATGTGCATAATACTCGATAATCAGGACTCCATTTCATTGAACACAATGAACCTAGCGTTTCAATCAAATCTATTCGCAAAAGAAAAAGAAAATTAACATAAACGACAATGCATGAAGAGGACGTATATTAATATTACCTGGAAAATTTTCAACACTTAAACGGATTTTATACGCTAACTGCAATGAAGACGTTAATTCATCAATATAGTACACAACTCCTTGACCACTACAATAAATCAATTGTGCAACATTTTTCCTTAAAAATATATTATGAACATACCTGCTAGATCCAAATGCTAACAATTGATAGATTGCATTTAGTGCCACACAACAGTGTGTTTTCCATACTTTTTCTTCACTTGATGGTTGAATCACAATACACTGACATTGCTGAAAACAACCAAAAAAAAATGAAATAATCATAGAATATAAATATCTTCTTCTTTTACATTTGGTTCAAATCTTGATGTTTCACAAATAATCAAACCAGATGTACCATCTGAGAAAACAATACCAATACCATTCAGTAATGGAGAAAATTCGATTTGTTTTGCATATAAACCTGTTTTATTCAATATAAATGCTAAAAAAAAGATAAACCATAGAAAAAAAAGCATTTTATTTAAGAATTCTCATTGTTTACCCCTGTCAGAATTTAAACATATAGAACATGATAATGTATTGAGTGAAATTGTGTAATTACTCAATATAGTACCGTCCCATGTAATACGATACAATAAACCCGTACTATTTGCTACTAAAAGATCTTGACCAAGATTAATCATTCTAGAAACGAAGAATACGTTGTCAATTTGTAGTAGATGAGATCAGATGAAAGTAAATTTACCCTTCGATTCCACTTTCAACATTTAAGGCGCTATCTTGAACAATTTTAATACGAACCATAGGAAATGTAAAATTAGATTCGGTATTAATTCGAACCAAATATTCACTAAAAACGAGAAAAAGGATATACTCGCTTATAGGTCGAAGAAATGTCAATACTATCAAGGTAAAATATGTAAACTATTTCGCAGCCCCACAAACGAATTGAGTATATTTGTGGGATCAAATAGAAACGAACATAATAGTTGTATTTCTTCTTAACCGAGAAGCAACGAAAGAAACAATTCAGTTAGGCAACTAGGTCAATCATAGAATAGTTTCAAACGTGTTCCTACCACGGATCTTCATCATTAGAAGAGCCAAATAAATAGGATTTTGGAGTGTCAAATGATACTTTGTAATAAATTATGTAACCTTTTGTAGTCTAAAAAAAGTAAACAAAACAAATTGATGTATATTTAAATGTGTTATACGTGCTACTTACAGAAACAGCTATTTTTTGTCCATCAATACGCCATTCGGCATAAACATTTTCACCATGAATTGCTATTGAATTCTCAGAACGTCGCACAAGACTCACCAATGTTGTGGCCTAAGCGAATGAATTCCTCTGTTAGTCTTTAAAGAAACGAATAAAAATAACTACGCACTTTGGAAAGCCATATACTGATAACTGTTGGTGTTAATACAACTAATTTTAATCTATCTCTTGTTGCACGAATAAAGTTAACAGTAAACGGTTCGTTTAAGGGTAGTGAATAAACGCGAAATGACCCAACTGGAAAATACATGTTAGCATTTGGAACTAGAATACGCTCATAATCTGTAAATAAAATAAAACAGACTGTATTATATATCAAGTAAATAACAAGAATTGATTGTTCCAAAGTCCATTTATTTTACTAATATTATCTGTATCATAATCTGAAGTGATTCTTTCCATGGATTATCTTTATACATGCGAAAAGCTAGCGTAAGATTCCCTTCCACAAAGCAGTTTCGCCTCCATTTTGACCTCTCTAATGTGATATATTTAGTTTTGAGCAGTAAATATATATAAAAAAAAGGTATAACAAAGTTTTAATAGAAAAGCAACAGAATGTCAAAGTGAACAGCATACGTATGTGCAAATTTGGCTAGCAAAAAAAGCACAGAAAAACAAAAATATCATTACCATTGAATTAGAAGAAAAACTTCCTCAAATAGAAACAAAATAAAATCCATATTTTCATGAATAATCATCTAATGCTTTGAAATAAATAGACAAGTGTCTGGGAAGATGTTTAATATGCACTTGTTCACGCAATCGTGTATCGCGATTTTGTACCGTACAAAGACCATTTTTTAATGAATCTGAATTCAAAATAATCACAAATGGCACACCTAGTTTATCCCAATCACCATTATTATCTCGTAAAAATCTGAATTGATATTTCGATGTTAATATATTTCCTAAATAATCACGCAATTCATTGTAATCATCTGTATTAGAATCCTGGATCTCATCTAGTTGAATTCCAACTTGATATGGTGCTAATAGCGGATGTAATTGTAGTATAGAATCATCTTTAAAAGCATCAATGAGAAGTACAGATAACGCATAGTTCATATTTAATGATAAATCAATACATTTCTCGTCGTCAGAAGTAATCAAAGATTCTAAACAATAACTTGCATTTATTTTATCCACATTATACTTAATTAATAACTGACATTTATCCGACACACGTAATAACGACTCTCGTTTGTTCAAAAACTTCTTCCACCAACGTAAACGTTCATTCGTTAAACGCTGTAAATTAATTTTTTGTGAATTTAATTGAACACCACGTAAATTCAAATAATCATCTTTTGATTGATCCTGTTGCACTAGACGTAGTAGCGATGATAAATTTTCAGAGGGTGGTTGCGATATTTTATTTTCACTCCACGCAATTGCATATGTTGTGACTTTAGATTTTTTATACGCTTCTTGTTTCTGTATTATTGATTCAAATGTTGATGGTGCCTGTTGATCTAACCAATAAATATTATATAATCCACATGTATTACGTATTAACGATTTTAACCATTCATGTTTTAAATTATAAAATAATGTTGATGTTAAAAAACCGTAAGTATAGCTGAGAGGTAACATAGAACTGACATCAGGTAACGTAGAACTGACATCTTCCGATCTAGCATCGAGAGCTTTGGATGTCAGGTAACCATATTGTGAACAATGTTTAATCAAGTTTTTATAGAGTATAATGCTCGGTGACGACATGAAATATAACAAAAAAAATAACCTGTATCAATCGGATAGCAAAAAAAATACTATGAAATGAAAAAAAACCCAAAACCAAAGTATTAATCTTATTGAACAGAAGACAATAGCGTTGGGCACCTATAGTCTTCTAACACAAAGTAGTAGAGCCCGCGATAAAAAATTTTGACGTAAGATTCTTACGCCGTTCGACTGAAACTCAAGTTTCTGCAGCATAAATGATTCACTAGTACCATAAAGTTACCCATTTCTCGTTCTAAACTATGAATTTTAATTCAAATAGGTTTATACGTTCTTTCTGTCTAAACAGATAACAGAATAAGACTAACATAAGACAAGGTAGAGAAATTCTACTAAACTGAACGATCTGTTTCTTAGCTAAGGCAATTTTTATGATAAGACGCATCTTATAAGATGTAATGTAGCATTCATAGTAGCTTAATTAATACCTTAGGCCACGTCCATGGTGCAGTCATATAATCATTCTTACATTTAGTTGATATGAGATAAATCGAACTAAGATGAGATTGTTCACTTGATTATCCAATAAATTGTCAAGGTAGAGATTGGATTGATTAAATAAAAGTAATATACTTATGCAAAAAATCTTTCACAATTGCTGCAAATAGTGGGATATATTTATTTATTTATTGAGAAACAAAATAGGGTGCAGTCAGCGTTCATTCGAGGTGATTCAACGGTAAATCAGCGAGTCTATCTTGTTCACACTATTCATACTAATAGCAATGAAAATCTCGTTACTGACAGCTGCCTTTTGGTATTGTCCTAAGACGTTTGATCATGTATAGATCAAATGTTTGCTTGATAAGCTTGAGTGTAAGAGAGTTAAGGGTTTGATACTGAAATGGTTTGGAAGTTATTTATCTGATAGAAAAATCGTGACAGCAATTAACTGAAAACAGTCATCAGATTTGTCAATAAATCGAAGCGTATCACAAGGATCTGTATTAGGTCCTTTGTTATTTTTAGTTTTTATGGACAATATTGGAAGCAACTTAACATCGACCACGAGACTTTTTGCCTGATGATACTGTGATTGTGATGCATCATTGTCACAAAAACATTGGATGTACTCACTAGAATGTTAAATGAAGATTTAGGAATAGTCCATCAGTGGTTAGTTGCGTGGCAAATGCCTCTAAATGCGAACAAATATGAAAATATGGTTTTCAATCAGAATGAATCAGAAGAGAAACAATTTGATTCCTGATCTATATATCAACACAGTTGTAGTCAAGGATGTAGCTGAGTATAAGCATTTAGAAGTGATTTTAAATAAAAAGAATAGATTAGAAAGTTCATCAAGAGTATCTGCTGAGTAAATACGAAAAAATTTTAAATGTAATAAAAAAATTCAAAAGAATATTTACCAGCCTACGCTGAATCAAATGTAAAAATTTTTTGTTTTTTCTATCATAACATACGCCCGCTGAATTTGTATAAATAAGTACAATATTTCTGTTTTTTTATTAATTCCAGTATCGAGCTAGTTTATTTGTATCTGGTGCATTACGTTTGAGTAGTAAGCGAAAGGTTAGCGAGAAACCGTATGGTGGTTGAATTTAAAAATAACTTTTGACTTTTTTAAATGAAAACTGATTTTTTTCGTCATTTTTTCCTTATATTATCAAACTATGGAATACTCTCCCTTTAAAGATGAGAACAATCTTTTGGTGTAGCACTTTTGTAAAGGGACTTTTGCAACATTTTCAGTTACTTCGCAAGACTCAGCCGTTTAGAGGTATTTATAGAACAGCTGACATTATTTTCCGTCAGATGAGAGTAGATTTTTCACCCCTGAATAATGGCTTATTTAGAAGACATTTGACTACTAGTAAGAACTATGTAATTGCGGACTGCTAGAGAGCTACACGGACTGCCCATGCAGGTCTCTAGTAGAGACAGTAAAACATTACCTTCTTCTTGTTCTAACTATGGTCTAGTGAGAGCAAAGCAAATCTAATTTAACAAATAAAACAATGTGACTCAGGCATTGGCATCAATATGAAGTTACAAGATATAGATTTTGAGCTGTATAAAGATCTTTACATAATGATTATAGAATATGTTATTGACATTAACAGATTTTAAATGTATGATGATCTCCCTATTACTATTTTTTCTTTATTTCATTTATTTGTTATGTTATTTTGCTTTCTCCTCTTTTCTTCGTCATTACCACTATTTGTGTTCAGTGGTTAGGGAACATCTTGTAAGTAACTCTCTTACTATATGGTGCTCATGCGTCTTAGAAGGGGAGTTGTCAGCAGAATTGCCACCTGTACAAGTCAGAAATCCGGAATCGTAATCCTAAAATCCGGCAAATTTCTTTCAGAATCCGCAAAAGAAACGAAAACTTATTTTCACCGCTTTATTTAACCTTTTTCTACTGCACAGAGTGCCCAAAACGGTTTCTTCTCTAGCTTTATACGATTTTATTCGACAAAATACAAGAAAATAACATATAATATAATTTCGATTTTAATCGCCGCACTGTTTTTGGAATATTTTCGATCCGAATGAATGAGTTTCAATAGTTCTGGCTTTGATAAAAAATAATTATAAATTTGAGTGCATGATAACGATGAGTGTAAACGAATTAGTTCTGTCGACATACAATTTGGTCCGCGGAAAAAGCACTAGTCAAGAAGCTTGTGCTCCCACAGACAAGAATCTTGCACCTTGCTTGTACAGATAAGCATCTTGTTCCACGTTTTCTTAGAAAAAAGTGATAAAGCTTGGACGTGCATTTTCTTTACACTTGCGTAGCAACAAGCTAGCAACGGAAAATGATCGTTTTAGACCTTGAGAAAGAGTTGTCTGATTATTTTTGACCAAAATCTAAGATGGAATTTAATAGAATTCTCAAAATCTAGATTAAAAATATAAAATCGGCCATAACTCAGTAGTTAAGCATTTTCAAGGCTGGCGGACTTCAAAAGCAGCTTCAACATGCTTTTCATAAATAAAGTCGCGACACTTTGAAAAAAATTCAACGGATTTAAATTTTTTAAAACTCCTCATTTTCTATGCTTCTGCCTGGAAAGGACGGAACAAGATTCTGGTCAGAAGTGGCAAGATAAGAATCTTGTCTCCAAACACCTTCTTACGACAGACAAGATAACACTAAGAGATCCTTGTCTGCCGATACAAGATAGTGATTACACATAAGATTCTTATACGAGGAGAATATGGGTCGCTTGTCTGTAAAGGTGAGAAACAAGATTCTTGTCTGTGGAATCACTAGTTTCTCAACTATTGGGTGGTGGAGCAATAAGTAATTAAAGAGAAACGAAAGAAAAGTAACTGGCACTTTAGCTGGTGTTTAATTCAGAACTGAATATTCAATCAACGTAGTTACCCAAGACCAGTTCATTTTTACAATTCGAACATGCTTGATTCACAGTATCCACCTGATGCATTATACAGGCATGCAAGAATCGAGTCAGAGACGTGATTGACGTCTATGTATACGTGCACGCTCCAGGCATGGTGCTTGATAGCCGCAGACATGAATTTTGTCTATACTTCAAGCCACATGCATTGTTTGAGCAGGCAGAATGCATTCTGTTCTCTCATTTTTCTATTCACCATTTTGTTTTGTCAGCGTAGTAGTTATATAAACATTACAGTTTACTAAAGATATTTTCAAAGTTTTCGACTTGATGCTTTTCCCTCTCGTGTGAGAAGTGCCGAGACAGAGCCATATATGTCTTTGTCAATGTGGTACTGAAGTAATTAACACTAAATAAAAAATGAAAACTGAAAGTAAAATTCACTAATTAACTGCTTTTCATTTCTGAATATCCCTGCTGATCTAATTTTTATTCCGCAGACATCTAACGGGTGGGTCAGATAAAATCGGCCACTTTTGTTCTTGTTTATTAATCTCCTTCTATGAAGTTTCAAGTTCTCATTTTACCGTTAATCGATAGAGAATTGAATTTTCTACAAAACCTGTAATTTTAATCTCTGACAGCATTTTTCCTGTTTGAGTATCAATCAGAATATTGAAGGGTGCTGAGTTGTCGAAATGCGACGTGCTTTTGATGTCTCCTTCGAGATTTCTATCCCATTGTCTGATGTTCAATAGCTAATTTTTCTAGGTAGAAAGATAGAGAATTTTATGTTCTATTGATCTCACTAATATAAAACTTTATACAATGTTTTCGCTACGTCAGTTGGACTCATAAATAGTTCTCAACCGGCTTTTCAATTTTTTTAAATTAAATTAATTATTTTAATTAATGATTTGAATTGAGAAACTTTCTTTATATATCAAAAAACGCAGAATTTAAGTCTATGTAGGATGGTAAGACTAGAACTCTGGATTCAGAACGTTTTACTGCTTTTATAGCCAAAAAACTAAAGTCTATGAGAAATAGGTTGAGAAGTTAGGTTTTTTTAGATTTATCAGTTTTTTGCACAGAAATTTTTCTAGAAAAGTGAGCTGCAAAAATGTCGAAAAATACGTGAGAAGATGCAGGATTTTCTGATGAATCTTCTGATGTTTTCAAAATTCTTATGGAATCTGTTTTTGGATCAAGGCAAATATTTTTCTATTTTCAGTGTGTCGCATTTCGACAACTCAGCACCCTTCAATATTCTGATTGGTACGCAAATGAGACAAGTGCTGTCAGAGATTAAAATTACAGGTTTTGTAGAAAATTCAATTCTCTATTGATTAACTGTAAAATGAGAACTTGAAACTTCATAGAAGGGGATTAATAAACAAGAACAAAAGTGGCCGGTTTTATCTGGCCCACCCGTTAGTTAAGGAAAGATATCTCTCCCACTATTTTTTCTGTGGCTGTGTATCGTCAGATGACAACGACCTCTACACCATATTCTATATGTATCACGTATTATAGGCTGAATGTATACATCTAAGAATACACGAATGGAAGGCTTTTTCGCCAATGACTGTTAGATAAAACAAATAATGTGCGTGATTCACAGTATCCACCTCGGGCATGCAAGATTAATGAATGTCATGTCTGAAAATGTATGAGACGTGCCTGTGTTCGTGCATGTATAGGCAACGTACGTATCAAGAAATTGGTCTTGGGTAGTATGAGTTTCCTATAAATGTTTTCACGTTCACAGAATAGTTACATTTTAAGTTTGAAAACTATAACGTACATTTCACGCAATCGAGATATGCGTGTACTAGAAAAAAAATTTTGATGTCGCATTTCGAAAACAGTTTTGGCATTGCATACTATGTTTCACCGGCGTGGACAAAGATCATGTCGATGCCATTTTTGATTTTCATATACAATCCCGCATTCGTAAAAATCAATGTTCCACTGATTTTTAGCAGTGTCATATTGAAACTTATTTGGTTAGTGTAATTATGTGTTGGATAACTAGTTCTCTTTTACTTAATTTAGTATTAATTAAAGTGCTGCACGGATAGCACCACCAGATTGACATGGTGGTATAAGCATGCAGCACTGTCTCGGTACTTCTCTTTCGAGAAGGAAAAGGTGAAGTCAAAAAGACATTCAAAATCGTACATACAAGTACACTGGTGTATATATATACGCGGCTATGCCACTGACAAAACAAAATAGTGATTGAAAAAAGTTACAGATGCGCATCGGTACCCAGAAGAAATTTATATATTTATTTATTCGGCATCTGGTACCAAAGTGTCGCCATTAAAATTTCTTTTGTCGGACGAAGTTTGTACGCATCTTAGCTAAATTTAACTTTGATTGATTTCCATTTCTGCTATGGAAAAGTCAGTGTTGGCTTGGATCTTCGAGGAATATGTTACTTTCTCGGCTTTCGTTTTCTTTGACTACATGAACGGAATGATGGAAACTTAGGAAAACTAGCAGCAGAAAGAAATCTTTTTAAGTCTACATTTTAAATAGTGGAATCTTCTTTACGGCTAAAACTATAATTATAACATCATTTCCATTGTTTTTTCTTACTGCTTTACAATACACTGTTGAAATAAGATACGGTAATCGCAGAGGTGGTGCATGCTATAATATTTGTACCGTAACTTTCTTTTCTTCAAACTTTACGTTCAGTCGTGCACTAGTCGAAACTGATCTCTTTCATAGTGACTATCTAGAAATTGGAAAGAAAGGGTTATTCGGTATGAATTTTAATAAATCGATTTCGAATGTTGACGACAGGTAAAAAAATTTTCTTTGTGGTTTTATAGATGTCTTTATGGAAGAAGTTAATCAGTTATAGTAGCGATAAGTTACAAGTACCTTGTGTAAATCATCAACAACAATATAGCGGTTCTGGGCTATTATTATTTGATAAATCAACAAATTGTATTTTGCTGATTCACGATTATACTGGAGACTATAATTGTTTTGGTGGGCGAATCAAACTTGAATATAATAATGATGATTTTGGAGTTGAAAAGACCGCTTGTGATGAATTATATGAAGAATCGAGAACATTACTATCCTTTGATTATAAAAAGTTATCAACCGTACACTATGTCGACATAAAAAATAATTATCACAATGAATTATTTCGTTGTTATATAGTAAAATTGGAACTACCATTAGATATTCGTGAACAATTTCATAATATTGATTTGAATAAACTACCGTACAATGATGATTATTTTGAAACAAATGAAATCCATCTATTCCCTATTGAACAATTTCACTCTTCAACTATATTTCAGTCAGGGAGCACCAAAGCAACAAATAATCTAGGAGAAAATCTGGCTCTAAATGAGAGAGCTATTGAAGTCATTTTAGCAGCTAAAACGAAAAATATTTTGTAATACGTGTTTGTTTGACTTTTAACCGTATCTTTTCCGTCATAACCACGCTGTTTATTTAAACGGTGTTCGTAATGGTAACTAGAAAAGTGAATGCTTCTTTTTATCGTCACCAAAAACATGATATGAGGATACTGTCGATGACTAAAATCTTTTGTTTTTCGACAAAGCTTGTTTATTTTAATAAAGTTTCTCTTTGGTTTTTTGAAGACATCTGCATATTTTTCTATTTCTATAGTCTGTGGCATTTGGTTAGTAAGAACTGTTTTAACCAAATGATAAATATCTGTTTTCTCGAAGTTCTTGTTGAATGGCTTTACTTCGATCAACTTTATTCCCTGTATTTTTCTTATCGTACAAGTGTTGCTAACTTGTTTTGATACCTACTTCTTTGATTTAATCATAAAGCTCGTATTGTAGTCCAAGATATCTTTGTTCTCTTTTTGTAAGAGACAGATTTTTCTTCTTAAGGGAAGTTCACCCCCCCCCCCCAAACATACTCTCAAACTTTGTCGGTTTGCAGCTGACCGATTTTTCCGTCTATTTTGCACCTGGTGCAAAAGGTATTTCTTGCGCAGTCCCCCGTTTTAAGAAAGCATTTTGGAAAGTTTATGTCAATGCAAAAGTTGTTCATTGCATTCATCTCTACTGGCAGACATAATTTATTTATGCTGCGAATTTCAGCGATACGACTCGGTTTTCCAGTGATCTCCTGGAAAATCGGTTTTTAAAATATTTTTGGAATTCTCGTGCGTTACATAACGATTGGGCAATGTCTTGGCTATCTAATGACGAAGACTGTAACTCTCTAACTATTGTTAGTCAAAAGTTATTTAAAAAATGGCTTGCGTGGGCACAGTAATAAACCGCTTAGGAATCCAATATTTCGAAAAATGGGCTAAAATAACTGCTAAGTAGTAAGTTTTGGGGAAAACAAATTATATCTGCCCGTAGAGATGAATGCAATGAACAATTTTTTGCATTGACATAAACTTTCCGAAATGCTTTCTTAAAACGGGGGACTACGCAAGAAATACTTTTTGCACTAGATACAAAATAGACGAGGGGGGGTACCACGCCCCTTAAAAAGCATCTTGATATACATATTCAATATAAATGATATCTTCTCAATGTTTGAAAGAAATTTTTGATTCGCAACGTCGTTATAATTTATATGAAATATTACAAGAATTAACAATCGGCTAATCACTTTATCTAGTATGTTTGTTTAGCAATGCCCTGTTCATTACCTTACAATTATGGGTAAATGTAAAAGAATTATTAGATAATTACATACTCGTTGTTGAGAACTATTATTCACAGCAATTAAAATATTTAATTTTTGAAATGAAACAAAAACAATGTGAACAAGCATATCAACAAGCATTCAGAATGATAATAGTGGTTCAGATATTATTCTAACTTCGTTGTTATTCATATAAATCTATTTTATATTGTTAATTGTTAATTTCTTTTCGGTATTCCCGAACTATGTTAGTATTTTTTGTTTATAAAACGAACAGATAGTAGTAATAAAACTTTGTATTAACTTGTAATCATAAACACATGATTAGAATAGACGAAAAACAATCCTCCTCATTAAATTTAGCTAAATCGTCTTCCGACGATAAAGGAAACTGCATTTCATACGACTACGTTTCATTTCGTGCTTTCTTTTAATGTATATCAACTGGTGATTGTGGTATGAGTACTTGTCTTAGTCTCGGTGTACATTTACTTTCTCACATTAATAAATATTGTGCACCATCAACACCACATCACCAAACAAGCATGAATCTTGTGGACGACGGCCAATGGTAGATGAATTTCATACGCCAATTTACTTTTACTTCTTGATGTTGTTTTGGGTGTCGGAGATTGATAGTAGCTTAGTATAACATGAATCCATAAAAGATGTTATTGGTGTTTTTGATTTAGATAGTGCCGTAATCTAAAGGTGCCGATGGAGATATGTTATTAATATCTACCATAGATAGAAAATAAGTTAATTTATCATTAATATTTTCTAGGTTTCTGACTCTACTAAAGTTTTTCTGACTGCGTTCGATAGCAACCTTAGATAACGCTTACTCAGTAACGGTGAGCAGTGTTTGAGTCAGAGTGCCCAGATCCAATTGGGAGATTTTAGAAATCAGGAGTTGATCAGGAGATTTCTAAAAAATCAGGAGAAAAATCACGAATGTGAAGAACAAACTGTTTGTTACACCATCTGTGGTTTTTTATGCAACATGACTGTATTACACGACAGTTCTCTTTTTCTTCTCCGATTTTTTATTGGTTCAAAATGTCGCTAAAATCGATGCAAGAAAACAATTGAAAATCAAGAGAAACCGGGAGAAAATCTTAAAAATCAGCTGCTGAAATTTCATCAGGAGATTTGGCCACTCTGGTCTGAGTATAAACCCAAAATGGCTATCGCTCACATTTTTCCAGAATGCCGCAGCTGTCGCACTTTCACCTTGCCAGAAGTGAGCAGAATTAAGGAAAAGTGAGCGGCGGTAGCGGTGAGGGTGAGTGATAGTAGTGGTGGCTGATCTGTAGAAGTACCGTTCTAACTTTTCCTTAATCGTAAAAATAAGTTTATAGAAATTTCAAATTCCTCGACAAACGCTTATACGGTCGTTTGAGATTTTGATATTGCTTAAAAAATAATATTAAAGAATGCCGAGCTCTCTCATCCTACAATAAATGACTAATGACTATGAAGATTCATTCGATAACGTTTTGGGGAAATAGCTCAGAAACAAACAGAACTTCACTAAAATAAACATAGATTTGTGACAGACACTATTAGCGAATCATTTTGGAGCGCGATACAGATACCACAATGCAAGCAGGCGGTAACAATCAAACAAAAAGAGATTCGAGAAGTGGAGGATATGATGGTGGTGGGCGACCAATCAGCTGAGTAGAAAAGTCATCGGCTAGTTGAGTGAGAACCCGATGAGTCAGAATCAAGTACTAATCAAGAAAGCATGACATGGATCATGACAAATTCCTGTTGGACATCTTGAAGACTTCACTTCGTCTTTGATGTGTGTGGATTTCTTAGAAGGTCGAGAAGTTGAAATAAGATTCAATATCTGAGGATCTCACAATTTCTAGAAAGATCAAGGTCTTTTAGAATATAGTGTTCCCTATCTGGAGTCTTGTTCAAAATGAACAGATATTCCATGCAATATGATTAATATGTGTTTTAGCAAATATTCCTTCTTTCTTATGTCTCCAATTAGGAATTTTGTTACGTTTCTTTTATAAAAGTTAATGTTTATTTTAGAATTGTTTTCTTTCTTGATTGTTGTACGATGAGTTTCGACCAACAAATTCAAGATGTAAGTTAACTGAAGATATATCCAAATTTTTTCTGTTCTATCCTTTTTTTCTCTAATTTTAGTTGAATCTTGATATTGATGAAATAAAAAAATTTCATGAACAATCTCAACGTCCCCGTATTAAACAATTTTTGGAAATTCAGTTACGTAAATATCAAACTGAGTTGTTAAGTTTAAAAGAAAAACAACAGCAACAAAACGACAATAAAACGGGCGAGAAAGCAGTTTCAGCACAAGCATCAGCGACAACTTCGACAAATCGATCCTATAACAAAGATATTACACTTTATGGTATGCAAACATCCTAATTGACGGAATATGAGTAAAATTAATACAATTTTCTCTTGTAGCTTGGGATCAATCAGATAAATTTGTCAAATTGTATGTTCAAGATTTAAATGGCGTATCAAATTTGGCAGAAGATCAAATAAAATGTACATTTGAACAACGGTAATTGTCTATTTAACTCCTACATTTTACTTGGCAGTTTAACTCTATGACTGATATTCTCCTAAAGAATAGATTTTTTCATATGAGCTTCTTTCACATTTTTTAGTGGTTTTCAGTTAGAAATAAATAATTTGAACAACGTCAATTATACATTTAAATTGAGAAAACTTTTGAATGAAATTTTACCCAATGAATCATCATACAAGGTACGTAGTCTCATATATTAAGTTCGACTAATTATATTTAACTTATTTTTAGTTAAAAAAAGATTCAGTTGTTATCATGCTTCGTAAGAAAGACCCTAAACAATGGGAATGTGTTATTCAAGACGACAAAAAAGCCGATAAAAAGTAAGAGCACCGCAATTTTTTATGGGACGAGCCTTGTGATGAATATTTTTTGAGAACTTGGCAAGACAAGAAGTTTACGAGGCGATCTCTGCATGAGAGCAAAAGGTCACTCATCTCTGATCTCTATTTAACTACTATAGACCGTTGTCTGCAAATGACTCAGTATTATTTATATTCTATGAGCTTCTTTTCATTTTTCTATTTAGACTACCAAAGATGGATGACAGAAAAGATCCAGGAGATAGCTTAATGAATATGATGAAACAAATGTATGACGAGGGTGATGATGAAATGAAAAGAACAATAGCTAAAGCGTGGACTGAATCACGCGAAAAAATGAATACAGGTGGAGGTGGAGAAATGGGCGGATTTTAATATGTTGTTTATCAACCAACGGTTATACAAGGCTTTTTAGGATTAAATTAAGCGGTTTGTGTTTTTTGCGTATTTTGTATGATTTTTCTTTTGTGTATCGGATAAAAAACGTAACAAAAGTTATAAAATTATTCTGAGTGGTGTTTTACAATAACGATCAATTGAAAACTGCTGTACTACTGTCTAACATTAACGCTATTTCCAGTAATTTTTTTTATATGTCCACTTTTATACAAGAATAAAAATATTATTTAGCTTGTATTTGTTTCTTTGTATTTGAACATATTTCTGTTTTATCGTACTCAATCGATATTATATAATTCGATAGTTAGCAGAAGTTTGTTAACATCGTATCGTTAGCTCTTATCAGTTGAAATGTTAGCATAATAAGCGTTTTTCTCTATACTGTCAGTCATCGCGTTTCCTATAAAGACGATTGGTCGATGTGTTAGGAATGTGTAAGGGCAAACAGTTCATGAGAAATCTGCAAGCGTTTGGTAAGAAGAAAGTATTTTATAAACATTAGTGAAGAATGATTAGTCGAAAATTATTATTCGCGTTTTCTTTAGCGAGAATTGTTGAACACATAATAACCTGTAAATATAATACTTTCTATTTAGAATTAATATCTACGTCATGTTTCAGATTATGCGTTATTATAATTAATTAGCAGAAAAATCAAAATAAAATTTGATAGAAAAAAAAGGACTTCTCTAATGGCTGCAAGTTATACAAGACCACAATCATACGTAAGAATAAGAGTGATAATAATCATACTAGTGCAATAATTAATTGTGTTTTATTTTGTTTTTAGTCTTCAATTCGTGATGACGATGATGAAGCACTCAATTTAGAATTGGGAAAGTATGTAAACCAAAACTCGTCATGACTTTAATTAAGATAAATAACAACAGATCAGACAGATCGCCAATTCTCTTTTATCATTTTGTTGAAAAATATATTTTAATAAAAACAAATTGCATTGGTAATAGTTATCATCTTATTCTAGTGGTTCATCTACTGGCACTGGAAACGAGCAAGGTATTAAAAAGTGAGTAGAAGCTGATTACGAGTGTGGATAAGTTTATGTCATTTTTATGTTTTAGACTTCACGGGCAAGTGCAGGAAGTTGTCGGTGTTATGAAAAAGAATATTGATAAATTGCTTGATCGTGATGTTGGATTGAGTAATCTAATGACAAGAGCTGATGAACTTCATACAACAGCTGATACCTATAATCAAACAACAAAGCAATTATCTCGAAAAATATGGTGGAAAAATGCTAAAGTAATAAATGTTAAATTCTTTGTATATTTTAGTAATGAGTGTCTTTCTCATTTAGACAAATATATGCATTGGCACAACGGTTGCCATTGTACTTATCATCATAATTGGTAAGTGATATTACAATACTGAATGTCTCACTTTTCTCAAATTTGTCGTGTTTTTAGTGAGTATTGTTGTAAATCGTCGAAAAAAGTGAAGAATTGTTCAAACGCAAATCGCTATAAACGTTCAATCTTCCCATTAAATCTGTGTGCATATTTCTATTTTACTTGTCAGATTTATTTATTTTTTGTTTATGTACACAAGAAATATTTGTTCTGTTTTTTTTCTTTAAAAAAAAGGTGCCTATAAGATTTTTGCTTCTTTTCTTTGAGTTTTAACTACAACTATTTGCAATTATATTTGGAAGACAAACACTGTGTATGTGTGCGCTCAAACGAATGAATAAATGTGATTTTTTTTGGAATGTAAAATTTTATGTTGTCACGTTCGTGCGTCTCTACGAACAGTTTTTCTTCTTTTTCAATCATGCATAGTTGAACTTTTTTTGGTGCTTGTACTCACTAATTTGACTTTTAAATTAACAAACTGTTTTCGGGTTAAAATAAAACGAAGCTCATGGTTATTTTTGAGATATATATGGTAAAAATACGACGTACAACTTTTCGTCTGTCAGTCTTTGTACACTCAGTTGAGTTAAACAAGTTTGTGTCCTCAAAAGATAGAAGATAAATTGAACTTGATCTTACATCTTATTCTTATTCTAATGTGGCTCATAAATGGGTCATTATTGTTTTGTGGATAAACAACAGTCAAGTAAACTGGGTAATTCAACGAAGATTTATCAATCACTAATATACTGTATTCATTGAGTTTAGCAGAGCCTGATAAGTAAGAATTAAAAATCATGTAGACGCTTTTCTGAGAAATGGCATAAAATGTGATAAATAACAAAATGAATCAGTCTAGCCACACGTGCTTTTATCTTAGCTTTAGGTTAACGAGAACATCGCGATTCTCGAGTTATCTTCTGAAAAAAAATTACTAGAAAAACGATAAACGGTCCTCTGTAATGACAAAAAAGAAAAACGTAACGTTAGATTTTTTTCCTGCTCATTTTGAGATTCAGCTGTTGTGTACAATTGACATAGGTTCTAGAGGTAAACAAAAAAAGATGAGCGCAGCAGAGTTGTCACCAGATCAGCAAATTAGTACCGGATCGGCCGATTGACCGATAACCAATTCAATCTGATTAAATTTTTCAATCAACCGATATTCATCGATATTTTACCGATTTATTTTTTGAAATCACTTTTTTCTTTTTTTTTCGCTAATAAAAACGTGAAAATAAAAGATTTCTAATCGAAGCTGGACAAAACTTTAACCTTGTACCTGAAGTCAGTACATTTTTCAAAAAACTTTCTCTATTATTTTCTCTTTTGATGGTTAGTTTTCCCATTTCGCCGAAAACTCACTCTCATATAGCCGATTTGATGCTGAGTTCTGATCGGTCGATCCGATCCAATTTAAACTCTTCATCATCCGATCCGATTTCAATTTTTTTCAATCTGTTACAACTCTAGAGGGCAATGTGCGTCGAAAAGTAACAGAGATCTGGCAAAATCTAGCCTTTTCCTCAAGGACATCGATTTTCGACAGTTGTTTAAACGGCACAGGTACATGTTCAGGTCAACGGCGATCTCCTTCTTCGACCTAATAGTCCGATATTCTTTTTAAGTATTGTTTTGCTTCTACTCAAAAAAATATGCTTTGCAAAGAGAAGAAGTAGTTTCAAGGAAAATCTATCAAACTTTCAAATATAGGTGAGTTGATTTTTAAAAAAATCTTCGTTCATTGCACAAGAAAATAGCTGTAATGGGTATATTCATCTTACGACTAAATTGTACAACTTTCGAATGATTCCTGAACTTCAACCTCAACCCGTTCCATTACCATCTGATTGGTCTCTTAGTAGTCTGTTACCTTCCTCTTATTATCATCATCACTATCATCAACCAGCAAACATTTTGTTACAACAACATCATCAACACCGACTACTGCAGC